AACTGCAGCTGGCCGGACGAGGTGGCACACACCTGTAATTCCAGCACTCATGAGGCTGAGGCAGGAGGATCACTGTGAGATCAAGACCAGCCTGGGCTACATAGTGAGTTCCAGGTCAGTCTCAACTACATAGTGAGACCTTGTCTCAAAAAACCAAAAAACAAAACAAAAAGAAATGCAGCTGGCAGATGTTTTGTGCAGTTTCCTATGTATGACCAAGCACCCTTGTCCAGTCTACTCTCAAAACAGCAAGGGATAGTTTGTGTCCTCATTATGGCATGAAAAAACTTTCTAATGAAATGTAAGTGGCAATATAGTGGGCTCCAGGCTCTTTGACTGTAGGTACTCATGGTGTGAATATTATTACCACTGCATGTTAACTTCTAACAGTGGAGAAGCACTCAGAATTGTTTGCATACATAATCCTACAGTCCAGGAAGTGATATGGGTGGGAAAGGAGGAGATGGCCTTGTAAGTTTGCATCTCATTCACTCATTTTACCGTCATCACCATTTACCATTCGCCATAGTCTTGGGGAGTTCTCTATTTTAAACAGAGCATGGAGTGGAAGTAAGCCTCAGTAGGAGTTCACATCATAGCCTGGGCATAAAGTAATGGACAAAGGGCTCAGATTCTAGGAAACCAAGATAAATTTACAAGGTTGAGTCATTATTTTCTCTAATCTCCTCAGAGAGAAATCATACTTCAGACCCTCGAAGACACTATACTCAAACAGAAGCACCACTTGTTTTCATTAAATCAGGAATTTGAAAGATGAGTGACCACAACTCAACAGTAACACATAACGCAAAGGAAGAATAAACAATGAAAGAGGAAAAAAACATGAAGAATGCGGACATAATACAAACCTTGCCACTTTCAGCATTCTTTTCAATCTCTAAATTTTTAATCTGTTTCTCAGCTGCCTCAAGCTGCTGTCTAAGTTTCTCGATTTCCGATTTACCTTCGGAAATGGCTTTCCGAAGCACATCAATATCCAAGAGCTTTTCTTCGGTGGCCTTGAGCTGTGATGTAAAATTATCAATAACCTTGGTTTGTTCATTGCATTTGGTTTGCAGTACCTCTAGCTCCTTTACCTTTATTTCAGCTTCTTGCAATTTGTTTAACGTGTCCTCCATTTCTACTAGGTGTTGGTCTTCTGCTCTGTCCAGTTTGGATTTGATGGCTTCCAGGCTGTTCTCCTTCTCCTTAATGATATTCATCAGTTTGGCCTTTAGGACTTCCATCTCTTTAGCATGAGCAGACCGTTCAGAGTCTTGTTTATTTTGCAAATTTTCTATTTCTTGCTGGTAATCTACTCTTACTTTCTCTATTTGTGTCTTTAACTCGGCCAATTCTGCCGTCTCCATTCCAAGCCCTTTGCTGAAGGACACCTTCAGCTCCTCCATGGCCTGCTGGTGAGACCCAATGGCAGTCTCCAGCTTGGATTTCCACAGGGCTATCACATCAGAATTCTCCTTGTTGGCATGGTTCAGCTTGCTTCTCAAGGACTCATTGTCTTTGGCAAGCTTCTCTGTGGCTGTGTGCAGAGCCTTTATCTCCTTCTGATACGTCTCTTCCCGGGCTCCAAACTGCTCCTTCAGAGAAGTTATTTCTTTCTGGTGGTCAGTATGGGTGACCTCTAACCTTTCTTGCAAAGAGCTTATCTCCTGCAAAAGGGAAAGCGACACATCCACATCCCCAGCAGGCTTAGTGGACTCAAGCCTTCTTCGGAGCTCAGTTACTTCCTGTACTCTCAATGCTAGGTCTTTTTCTAGTTCCATTATACGTGACTTTTCTGACACTGTAGCCACCTATTAACAGCAGGTCAAAGAAAGAGAGATCACTTAATAAATAACAAATAATGATTTTCTGTGACCCTGAAGATCTTTAAGAAGTACCCCTTTTTAGGCAGCAGTCAAGCTATTTCACAATGTTTACAGGTTAATTTATCTCTCATGTGATAATGGCTTAAACCTAATTCTGGTGGCTCCAATTCAAAATTATAATCTTTGGCAAACTTCCAGCATTCTGAGATGGTAAAGGACCCTAAAATGGATACTGAGCTCACCTCTCTCAAAAATGCTTCTTTCTCCTCTAAGAAGGCTAAGTCAAGGAAGTGCTCACTAACCGATTTAGCAGACACTAACTTCAAAAGTTCTCAAATACATCTGCTTCCTGGGATAATGAATATTCCTTATCTAGCCAGTATTTTTCCACCGTATTTCACTGAAGCTGCATAAATCCTTCTCCATCTGATGTTGGTGATTTCACAGAACTGTGCTGTCCAATACAGCAGCCATTAGCAACACACAACTACAAAGCACTGACATTCAACTCATTTCAAGTGAGTGAGGGCTGCTGTGAGACATACATCAGGTTTTGAAGACTTCAGGAAAAAAAGAATATAAAATTTCTTAATTCTTATATTGATTATATGATGAAATATTTTGAGAATACTAATTTAAATAATTATTTAATCGCATTTGTGACTTACTAAAAAGTTAATGTGACTAAAAGGAAACCAATTATATATACAAGACAGATATTATATATTTATTTATATATCTCTTACATTATATATCTATGGACAGCACTGGTATAAATGGTTTAAAACTACCTATCAAATGTTTCAATGAATAATTCATCCCCTGCAATATAAAAGCCTCAACTAGATAATGAAAAATTTACTAACTTTTTTTCAAAACAATAACGTAAGAATGATTACTTACTGTAATTATAAACTAGATTCTTACAGTGAGTCCCCTTTGGAGATTTATAATTCCGTCAACATTCTGATGTAAGCATCTAGTTCCCCTAGCCCAGGGTTCCCCGTATCAGTATGCCTATGAATCACCTGAAATGCATGTCTAAAATGCAAGTTCCCAGCTACTCCCACAGATTCTGATTCTATTTGAGCTCTAGAATTAACACACACACACACACACACACACACACACACACACACACTCTCTCTCTCTCTCTCTCTCTAGGGCTAGGAAAAAGTCAACCCATGTCCTTTTAGTTTTAGAAAATTATTTTCCATTGCCACCTGCTAGGCAGTAAGTTTAGTACCCAGGATTTGTGGAAAATGGTAACTTTGGGCACAACAATTATGTGACTAACCTGGGAAATAGAAGGGAACACAGGTACTGTAATTTTAAAGTATCAGTGAGCCCCAAGTGTCAAGGATCAAAACTTCTCTAAACTTAAGACTCCTCTCCATACTGCCTTTCTTGGGACAGAAAATAACAAATGAGTTTCTTTCATTTCTTTTGCCCACCTACCCAGGCTGTAAAAATGGTAAAAGGTCCACAAGTAAAGAAGAAAAGAACCTGATTCTCCAAAACTGCCAAGTTGAGCTGACGCAAACTGCTATGTCACGGTCACAGATTCATCAGGTTAAAGGCGTTTATTCAGTTATATGCTATTTTAGGGGGAGAGGAAGGGCCAAGAATTTGTGTCCCAAATATATGACACAAAACATCAATAAACCTCACTGGAGCATTCATAGCAAAACAGTCAAACTGAAAGAATGCCAAGACGCTGGGCGTGTGGCTCATGCCTATAATCCCAGCACTCCAGAGGCTGAGGCAGGAGGATCACTGTGAGTTCGAGACCTGCCTGGGCTACTAGTGAGTTCCAGGTCAGTCTCATCTATGTAATTAGATCCTGTCTCAAAAAAAGAAAGAATGACAAGAAAATAATTAGTGAAAACAAACCAGGTGCATGCCTGTAATATGACCTCTGGAAAACTGAGGAAGGAAAAGCACAAGTTCAAGCCCAGCCTGGGCAACTCAGTGAATTATCAAGACCCTATTTTCATAAATAGATAGATAGAAATTGGTTTTTTTAAAAAACTTGAAAAGTGAAAATAACACTATTACTCTTTATGTAACATTTTCATATAAGGAAAAGCACTTCTATTTTTTATTTCCCAGAGGCTGTCCTCAATTGAAATGATGTGTTTGCCTCTCCCACTAGTTTAAGATCATAAAGGCAGAATCAATGGGCTGGGGATTTAGCTCAGTGGTTCCTCTGTCTGCTTTGCAAGCGCAAAGTCCCGAGTTCCACCCCTGGTACCCTAAAAAAAAATTGTAAAAGGAATGTAAACAATACGAAACTTACAGGGGTCACTGGTTATTTTCCCACTTGGCAAATCAAGTGTGAGATCAATCACAGAAGTCACATCACTACCTAACAAAGTTTCTTTGTCTTTTATAAATGGATGATTTCTCATCAAAGCAAAAAAGAAGGCATTGAAGTCGTCTGGTGATAAAATTAAGATATGAGAGAGGAGTCCAGAAGTTTAAAAACTTTTCTATATATATAAAATTCTCCTTACTTTAGTAGCTAGTCATACTAAAGGACTTCATCTCATTAGCCCGTTGTATTTCCCAGATCAGGACTTTGGCTCTCAGGTAATGAAACAGTACCAAATTACCACTTATTTTCTCTTTTTCTCCCCAAATCCATACCAGAAATCTCTAATTTTGAGGCTGAGGACATTTCCCTCTTAAAATATAAAGACTTAAGTCTGAGAGAAGAAAGATCACCCAGTTGTCCAGATTTCTAGATCAATGATTTCTCACCAAGAGAAAGTTCTACAGTACAAACAATTCAAAAGAAAAAAACTGGGATTCCAAATTTGATCAGATACAGTATAATTTAAAAATTTTTAAAGATCAATCACAGTCAAATTCATGTTTTAAAGAGGATATATGAATACATATCTTCATAAGTAAGCCACACTATTTCTTAGATCTTTCAGGACAAAAATACTCCATAAGAGATTTCATCCTTGGTGGTTAAGGGTAGGCTCCAGCCAAGATGCAAATCCTGCCCTAGACCCAAACCTGGCTCCACTATTACTATTAGCTGTGTAACCTTGAGCAAACTGTCTAATCTCTCTGTGCCTCACTGTTCTCTCAGCTGTAAAAATGGGAACAATACTACTACCCTGGAGTGGTGGTGAGACAGAGTAGTACTATCAAAGCACTCAGGGTAATACGTGGAGTGACATAAACTTTCTCACGGTGCCTCCATACTCAGATGAAGTAAAACACGCCTGTGCCCTGGCTCCAAGGGCCAAACACCATGAGATGGGGACAGTAAGCAGCCATTCTGTTTCCCACATGGGCTCTCCTGGCCACTGACATTTTGATCTCCTGGGTGACAGAAAGGAGGGAGATGCACAAAGAGGTCAACTGTTGGGCAAAAAAGATAATTTGGATCCAGGATTCACTCTCATTTAAAAGAGCCAATGTTTCAATTTCCTCCCTGCAAGAGGCCTGGGGTCAGGTTAGGAAACCCAGGAGGTAGGATTATGAGAGTAAGAGGACAATTGACTGCTCGTGGCAAACTGGTATTAATACAAAGAACTTCAGATGCAGCTGCTGTGGCTGTCCGTAGTACACACGGCATCAGGTCCCCACCTTGCTGTGTCTGGGTTAACGGAAGTTGTGTTTCTCCATCCTTGCGAAAAGAGCCCCCTCCAAACACCTGCCCTCCACTCCAAGCTCACAAACAGCTGAGCAGCGCCAAGAGCAAACTCAGGCCAACTACAAGGCAAGTCACCTACGGTGTCCACCACTCACACGGAAGGGGCTGCTTCAGGAAATATGAAAGCCATTACCCTAGTGTCTTCTAACTCCCTCTGCAGTTTGTCAGCTTTGGTCTTTTCAAAGAGCAGGCTCTGTTCAAGCTCCTTAATGCGGGCATGCTCCAGTTTGGTCTGCGTCTGTTAGTAAAAAGGAAGAGGAAGAGAACACAACAGTGCCACCATGACATGCCAGCACGAGAGGAGGGGAGCGGCATGCAGGCTGAGCCACCAACATCTTCTGCCAGAAAGGGACGTGAGGGCGACGAGAAAGGAGAAGGATGAAACTGCAGTGACGAGGGTGAGGATGGAGACTACGCACAAAAGGGCAACGGTGTGCAGGGGACGTGAGCGGGTCTGATGGGAAAGGAAACAATGGGAAACGTGAGGCAAGATGACGTGTCGGACGCAGGCAGCCAAAAAGATGTTATATTGATCAGTGAAGTTTGTCAGCACAAATTAGAACAGTTAATATCCCTCTAACTAGCACCTTCCCTCCATACCACAGTGGCTATTTGACATTAATGCGTGTGTAACCGACTCCACAACTTTAAACGGTTGACTTCAGAATCATTGGCACCGTCACCCAAATAGGGAGAAGACAACCAGCACATAAATCTGCAAGTGTTCAGTGAGCCCTCAGAACAGGTCTGTGGAGCTGGTATGCAACTTGCCATGAACTGGGGTCATGAATTAATCTTAATAGGCCGGGCGTGGTGGTGCACACCTGTGATCTCCCAGCACTTGGGAGGCTGAGGCAGGAGGATCGCTCCGAGTTTGAGGCCAGCCTGAACTACATAGCAAGATCCCGTCTCAAAATTAAACAAAACACCAAAACCAAAAATTAATCTTAATAAAGGAAATCTGGAAACGAGAGATAATGGGTCTCTGCTGAATGGATGTGAAGCAGGCCAGGTCCTTAACTACATTCTCAGGTACAGCAGGGGAGGAGCCCTGAGGCTCTAATTTCCTTGCCTCGGGGATTTCCCAAAAATTAGTCTCCAGAGGAGAAGGAAAACAGACTGTAATTGTTACCCCCCATGGCCTCCCTCCATGAAGAGGCCAATTATGAAGTTAAGAGCTTAAGGAAACTTAGCTCCAACCCTAGGGGACTACTCTCACACTACACTGATGTGGTTCTGACCAGCTCAGAAGAAAGAAATGTAGGAACCAGTCGTCCTGCCAAGGCAGGAGTCTGAACTCATGCCGGAAGAGCTGATGAGAAAGACCCCAGAGTGGTGAGGCCCTCCCTGCAGACGCCCCTTGTGGCACACGGAGGTTACCATACAGGAGCCAGGAGGTGAGCTCTCCCCTAAAAGGCTCAAGCACAGCAGAATCTCATTTGATTTGAAATAATCTGGCATGGAGCCTGGTGGCACACACCTGTCATCCCAGCATTCTGAAGTAGGAGGGTCACAAGTTGAAGCCCAGCCTGGGCACCTCAGTGAGATCCAGACCCAAAATTTGGAAAAGGGGCTAGAGATGTAGCTCAGTGTGAAGGGGATAAAAAACAAACAAACAAAAATCTAGGTATCAATCCAAATACACTCTTCTGCCCACCTGTCCTACCCAAGAAGTTATCTAAATAAATGACAGGAAAACCCCAAGGACAGAGCTGCTCTCAGTAGCTGCTAGCTACCTGGATTAACTTAAGTATTTTGTGATTCTTACTGGCCTGATCGATCAATCTGTACAAATATGGACAAGAACAAAATGACACCAAGCAGTGCAGATCTTCAGTAGAAGGTGGGATGCCAAAGCAAGGTTACATCTGCACTCACTCGATCGGTGCTCTGGAGGTGTCAATGCATCCAAGAGATCACTTTGCTAAAGAATCAGATATAATAAACACCCATTGGGATAGTTAAAAGATGAATGAAAAACATTTTTAAAATTCTTCATCTTCTTAAGTTCTTTACGATCCACAAAAATAATGAAATAAAAATCAAAACCCAGCCAGGGATGGCGGCTCATGCTTGTAATCCCAG